ACACCAGTGACTTGGATCATTGGACAGTTGTAGCTGGTTTGTTCTCCTGATTCCAGGACAAAGCTTCTGTGCCAGAATGGAGACTAAAATAACACGGATTGAGCCTGTCTTCACAGAGCAAATGAAAATTTATGTCTAATCCAGGGAAATGGAAAGAGGAGGGAATTTAATGGACTCTTAGCAGGAACTCTGTGCTGTTGGGCAGTCTGTGCTGGGAATATCCAGGGATAACAGATTTCAGGTCATTAGTAGGGAGAAGGGAAACTCATTCTTGTATCTAGCCAGCTGTCAGAATCTCACTTCTCTAACTCACACATAGGCAACTAACTTGGTTTAACCATTTCAAACTTGGCATTTGCTCTTTCTGTTTATATTTCTGTATTTGAGGTCAAATACCATCCGGGTTAGGCTTTCTTTTGAGAAGGAGTGCCTGTGGAAGTTTTCAAAGTTTGACAAGCTAAGCGACTAAACACTCCTACTTAGTTTTACCTTGATGTAAAATAGTACACAGCTCTCTGCTCCTGGTTTTATTGCTTTTTGTCTGGGAGCAGTGTGTGACAAAGTTGGCAAGAGGGGACTCTGAAATGGTGGCATTTGTCTCTGGGCCACATGGCACCCAGAATTGTGGAGATACTGAAGTGGCTGTGAGCCCTGAGGGCGTTTTAGCTGTTTGAAAGCTGATGCTGAATGTCTTGTTCCTGTTACACACGTGGACTGGGGGGAGGGGGACAGACCTGTAGTTCAACGCTGTGAATATCTCCAGTTCTTGCCCTTTTGTTGAGTTTTGGCTGCAGATTTCTATGACAAACCCTGGGGTCTTGTGTTTTGCTTATTTTGTCTGCTTGTGTTCCACCAACCTCTGTACAAACATTTGCTTGTAAAACAGAATTTTTTTAAAAAAAACTGGTATTTTAACTGCTGTATGTTGGCTTCCTTACTCTGCTCTTGTGTTGTGCAAGGCAGTCCCTCAGAGTTAGGCACTTCTGCAACACACGTTGACACTTCCTCTGATCCACCCTCACTGCAGCAGGGGTGAGGAGCAGGCCTGACACCAAAACCACAGCATTTGGGGTAAAAACAGAATCTAGATTCTCTTCCTGCTTCTGCTCTTCATTTTCTCTTTGAGCAACACTTTAAGGCCTTTGCTGCTGTGTAGTGAAACAGAGATTAGCCTGGTATGAATTAGCATAGGTTTGCTTGTAGTACTCAAACAATTTGAGTGGCTGCTGTAGGAAGTTTAACCACTGGTAACAGATTGAATGTGGTCTGAACTTAGCTTGAATATGACTTGGCTTTAAGCAGTATGATATATTTATGGTTCTTATTTCAGCAAATACCTCTTGAGTGACTAGATTGTATTTCCTGAGATACACAGGCTGTTTTTTGTGCCTTTAACCAGTTGTTCTGCTTTTTAGCACCAGCTTCTGAGCTTCCAGTCTGGTAACTTGAAGGTTTTCCATTGAAGCTGAGAATGGCTTTATTGGCAACTTTTCAACCATTTCATTCTGAGAATCCTTGTTGTGCTTGAAGACAGAAGTAAAATTTATCCATTGAAATGTAGGGGAGAGGGTTTGTTCATTTAGTATTTTGTGTAGGAGATTCATGCTATAAATGAGGTAGTTTTTATAGGGACACTGAAGCAAGCAAACCTGGAGCAGATCTACATCCCCTGAGTTCCATCTGTGTGGTGGAGGCTGCACAAACACCTGACAGTGGAGCCAAGTGTGCAAGCAGTTGATGCAAACAAACCTGCAGAGGTGTGGAAACCTGCAAAGGTTCAGACATTCACTGAGCTCTGTGGTGAGACTTTGTTTATCTCCTTAGCAGGATGCATTTTTTGCAAATGCACCTTCTCCCTGCTCTTCAACACTCTCAGTGTGTTGGCTCAGACTTCCTCAGGCGTGTTTGTATCTTGATTGTCTTGAAACACTTGGTTCTGTATTTACTTCTCTGCTGAAGAATTGGCCTCCTCTGGAATCTTGCCACTGATTTCTATTTCTAGTAGTTTCTCAAGTAACTTTTTATCTGACACCTCCAGCTCTTCCTGCTTACACATCCAGTTTTCTCCTCTGTTTCATCAGTGCCCTTTCTAAAGGCTCAGCAACATTTAATTTGGAGCTCTGCAGCTGCCAAGTTTTATTTGGTGGTTTGTCTTTACACCCTGGATATTGTGCAGCCACCTCATTGTGTCATGTACATTTGTGGTGACTGGTCTGAAGCAATAATATTTTTGTTTCTCTTTTTGTGTGGTGCCCTAAAAGGTTCTGATTTCACAGAAAGTGAAGAGGATGATGGGCTGTTAGGAACATTTACCTTACTGGTACTGCAGGATTGGTTATAGTGCTGCATGTGAAGCACTGGGTGTTTTTCAGGTATGATTTCCTAAATTTAACCTTTAATTCCTTGGCTTAAGCACATGCATAAATGCAGTGGTTCTCTAATGCATTGAATAACTGCATCTCCTCTTGGGCTAAGTGTGAACTGTTCATTGCTTCTGGGAATTCAGATTACATGCCTGCTTAAAGAGATTTGAGTGTCCTGAAGCCACCAGGAAGGGAGAGGGACGTGTAGGATGTGTCAGCCTGGAGCTGAATGAGGTGCTTGGTGCATTAACAACCCTGAGGTCTTAAGAAGAGGGATTTGCACAATGGCATCATCAATCTGATGCCTTGTTCTCTTCCTAATTCAGAGCACTGGCTACTATTTTAATAGTGAGGATTTAGTCCTTGATTACTTTCCTAAGTGTTAAAACCCCAAGGTGTTGTTTCTGAGCTGTAGCAGCTATTTCAGAGCCTATCGTTAAGCACATGGGTTATGATTTATTTTCTCACCTGCACTGTTCCACTCTTAACCTATGTTGAATTTCACCTATCGCTGTCAGACTAAAATCTGATGTGAGATGGAGCTTGCAGGGAACATTTTTAACATTACTATTGTCAAAATCTTAAGTTGTTTTGCCACTGTTATATGGAAGGTGAGAGTTGTTGCCCCAAAGAACTTTTTGTCTGAATAGCCACGGAGGGAGGGAGGCAGGTCCAGGAAATACCTTGCCCAAGGACACGCAGAAGGTGGTTTGGAGAGTTGGATTGCACCCTATTCCCCTGTACTTGCAGCTCTGCAACCAAAACTCACATTCCTGGTGGAGCTGCTTTTTATTGTGGCAACAGAAAATGGTGGAATCTCTTAGCCCTGAGCTTTGGATTCTGAAGGAAGTTCAGAAGGAAATGTAGTTCATGTGCTGCAGTCTAAGTGGCTGCCTTAGGTGGGGCTTATCTGAAACCAGGCTCCTGTGGGAATTTGAGTGTGTCAGGGTATTCTACCCTTCTGCGCAAGAGAAAATACATGTTATAACCTCATACAGTTTTCTTAAAGATAGAAAAACAAGCATGGAAGGTTTCAAAGAGGATCTTAAACTCTCAGATCCTTTTTGCTCCACAAGCAGAAGTCTAAGTGGGGAGTGAGAACTTTGAGTCCTCACAGCACTTGGTGCAAGAGGCGCTGAGCAAGACTAAGATTCACCTTATGTTACATTGAATTAAATCCCATGTTCCTGCCTGGGATTGCTCCTCCTAAGGTACAGGACTTAGCACTTCTTGAGCTCCATGATCTTCCTGCCAACCTCTTCCCAGCCTGCCCAGGTCCCTCTGGGTGGCAGCATGGCCCTCTGAGGAGGAAAAGGTGCAATAGAACAGGTATGAAAGCCAAAGGAGACATTTTGTCAGTTGAAGAGGGGATAGTTTGTGTGTGCTCCTGCAGAGGCTTCCTCTCACACCCTGATCCCTGCTGAGCTCGTGGTTGTGGCTTTATGGCTTTTTCTGTTTTTAGCATCAGGAAATTGGGAAATCCCAGAGCACGGGGTTGTTCGTACAGAAATGTAAAAACACGCCTTATGTCTTGTGTCCAAACAACATTACCCACCCCAAGCTTTCAGCCCTGTAGCTGTGGGAATCAGGGGATAGGGCACAAATGTCCCAAATGTCCTGCACCCACCAGGCCCTGTGTCCCATGCAGGACATCCCCCTGTCCTGCTTTGGCAACCCCAGCAGTTTCAGCACATGCTTAAAGCCCAAGACACCCTCAGCTCTATGGAAAACAAGATCTTTCCCAGGAAGATGCCTAACCCTTTCCTTTCTTCTCTGGGAGGAGCGTGGGTTTTTTTTTTTCAAAGCAGCTTTTAAGCATCTTGGCACTTCACAGCTCTTGAATTGTTTTTCCTTTCCCAGACTCGAAGGTGTTGATCTCTGGCCTCCATTTGAGAGCTTGCAGCAAGTCAGCAGCTCAGGAATCCACATGGTCCTGCCAAGACAAAGGTCTTCCACTCATCCTGATTTTCTCCACCTCCTGCCCCAGGCACAAAGCTGGGTAGCACTTTTGGACTTCTCTGCCTTGAACTTGTAAAACTTGTATAGCAACTGTGAGCCAGAACTCAAATGATAAACACACTGAGCTCCTCCTGGGAGGATGGAAAGTGGAAACTGGTGGGGTTTTGTGTTTTTCCACTATGAGAAAGGGCTGGGTTTGTGCAGTTGAAGTGATGCAGTTACCACTGGGAGAGGATGTGAGCTGGAACAATTCCCGGTGTCTTTTCCTTCTTTGTAGGAAGGGATGTTGCACTCGAACAGCAAAATTTAAACACCTTGCCAGGGAAATAGTCCTGTGGCAATGAAGTGTACTCAAACTGGGGTTCAGAGATTTGCTTCAAGCACAGATTTCAGAGGAAGATCCATCTCTGTGCACCAGTTACAGCCCTGCCCATCATCCCTTATAACACAACACCATTGCACCCAAAGACACTCTCCTAGAAGTATCACATTCACCTGCAAGGACTCAGCTCTTCTGAGGAAGTCAGGAACTTAGGGATAATAAGGAAATTAAGTTTCAAAAATATCTTCAGTTATCACACACTAGTCATATATTCTTCCCCTTTCTTCATTAGGATTTCTACATCATCATTTAAAAGTGTTTTGCTTTGTTTTATTTCTATCCAGCCAGCCAATTTATTCATGGGCAAAGCCTGATTTTTATTTTTCCTGCAGTGTTGGGGAACATAAAAGCCTGGAAACTTGAGGCTGTTGTCAGCATTTATGCTAAAAAATAATGGTGTTGGCATCATAAAATCAATATATCCTTTTATTTCCCCCCTGTTTTAAAAACAGAGGGAGTTAACTGCATGGCAAGAATTTGCCTCAGCAAGCCTGGACTGTGTGGAATAGAATTGATTATCTGTCACTCTTGGTGCATCAGAAGAAGGGTGCAGATGTTTCTCCAAATGTGACATTTCCTCTTCAGTGCCAGGTGGGTGTGTGGTACCAGTTCAAAGCCACAGAAATCAATGGAGAAGGGAAAGTGAATTTCCTGCATGGAAAGAGCAAAATCAAATTGAGAAACTGGGAAGGTTTGTACCTGACAGCTGCAATAATTTCTGCCTGCAGATCACTCCTGGAAAACACTGTCCAGTTCTTTCTCTCCAAAACCCAAAAGCTGAAAATTGTGCAAAACAGGAAACTGGGATCTGCAAGGGACCAACAGTACCTGGTCACAAAATGATTTGGGCTACAAGGGGCCCTAAAGATCATCTCATTCCAACATCTTTCACTATCCCAGATTGTTCCAAGCCCTGTCCAACCTGACCTTGGACACTTCCAGGGATGGGGCACCCTGTGCCAGGGCCTCACCACCCTCCTAGAGAAGAATTTTTTTCTAATCTCTAATCTAACCCTGCCCTCTGTCAGTTTAAAGCCATTCCTCCTTGTCCTAAGCCTTTGACCTGCATCTCTCTAATCCAATCTTGTCTCCACACCTTTACAGAGCACCTAATCTCTGTGACATGAAGATGCCAGCACTAATACCAGAGGTTAACAAAAGTAATCTCTCTAGGTCAGGCTACAAGGGGGAGATTGGCTGTAAACTTTCCAAAAGCTGATTGTTCCCAGTCCTTTCTGCATCTTAAGCCACGATGACCTGGTTGTGCTGTCTGTTCTCCCAGCAGGACTGGGCCACCAACCTCTCTGCAGCTTTTCCCCTGCTGAATTTGCAAGGCTGAAGCATCAGGCTGGTGATCAGCACGTGGGGAGAGCTCGGTGTGGGAAAGGGAGCTGCTGCTGGAGTGTGGGAGGGTCAGAAAAGGCCTGGAACACCTGGGCATGGGCTGAAAGCAGAGATGTAATGGTCAGTGCCTGGTCACTGAAGTGTGACCTTGAAAATTGGCTGTGGCAAGCACATTTCTCTCCCTCTCAGGATTTTTCATAGAGGGGCACAGAGAGAAATGAAAGAGAAAACAATTTCTATTTCTGCTCCTTGTTTGGAGAATTGTTTCCCTGGGGTGAGTGCTTGGTTGGATTCTGGTGAGGATTGTTTGAGCCTGATGTCCAATCCAATCCAATCCAGTCCAATCCAATCCAATCCAATCCAATCCAATCCAACCCACCTGTGGCTGGACTCTGGAGAGGGTCAGAAGTTGTGGGGGAGTTAGAGATAGAGTCAGAGAAAGTAGTGTGTAGTTTTAGTATCTTCCTTTTATATAGTATATTAACGTATTTTAGCACAGTTATAATAAAGAAATCATTCAGCCTCTGAATTGAGTCAGACATGGTAATTTCTTCCCACTGGGTTCACCTGCATTTACAAGAATTGGCTTAGGTGTGACCACAGCAGCTCAGCCAGGAGCAGCTGGGCAGTGGGAAAAGGAGTGAGATGCTGATAAGGAAAGCAGGACCTGTGTGACCCAGGGGAGGAGGAGGAGGAGGAGGAGAGCCTTCCTGAGCACTCAGACATTTTATAAGAGGACAAAGCAGAGCTTTGCAAGCCAGATCAATCGTGTAAGCAAGTCCCCTGGTGTACCCAGCACCAGCAATTCCCAGCACCCTCATCTTCCTTGGGTTTGTGCCATGCAAGTCACTCCAAACATTATAAATATTTCAAAGGAGCTGTTTGCATTCTTATTTGCTTGTAGAGTACAAGCCCTGCAGTGAAGGAGATCCCCTGACTGCTCCTCAGGCTGAAAGCACTGACATTCCTGTCTCACTGCTCCCACCCATTCCCTCACTGCCTGGAAAGGGAGAACAGAGCTCAGTTCAATACTGATTTCCTGGCTGGGGATGAGCAGAGATGTGCAGGGCAGCTCATTTCATCCCCGTGCCCCTTAGTGCAAAGCCTGGTTGTGCACACTGATGGATTCAGTGCAAGGTGGGGAAGGCAAATTAAATTTCCATCCTGAATAAAGAGGTTTTTCTGGGCTTAAGGATGAAGCTGAGGGGAAAATTCTTCCCTGTGAGGGTGGTGAGGCCCAGAGTTGCCCAGAGAAGTTGTGGCTGCCCCATCCCTGGCAGTGTCCAGGGCCAGGTTGGACAGGGCTTGGAGCAACCTGGGATAGTGGAAGCTGTCCCTGCCTATGAAAGGGACTAAATTGTCTTTAAGATCCTTTCCAACCCAAACTTTTCCATGTTTCTATGAAATATGGGTTTTAAACCTGTGAAACAGGTAAAAGGATCCTTTGCAGGGTCAGCTCTAACTAAACAACCCCCCTAACATATTAGTCATTAAATTATGCTTTGGTTTCCTTTGGCAACACCTTCCTACAGGACCCAGCTGGGAAAGCTGGTAGCAACCACTGAGGCTCCAAGTGCCTCTCCCACAGAAACCAGGGCTTGGGAAGATCTCAGGGAGTTTTCTGGACCATCCCTCAGCCCTGGGGCACAATCAGTGCAGGCTGAAACCCTTCCCACCATGTTTGCTCAACATGTTCTGAAAACCTCGAGTGGTGCTGAGCCACTGCCACCCTCTCTGACCACACAGCCTGGCATTTGTGCTCTGCCAGGAGGAGAGATGCTCTGATTCCACCATCCTACACCAGAGTTTGGTTAGTTTCAGCTAAACTTGTTTTGGGACCAGTTTGATTCTCAGTATTTTTTATTTAATTATTACTATTTTTTACTTTTAAGTTTCCTTTCTAAATGCCAGACAGAAATGCTGTTGATCTGTGAGGAAGGGGTGAAGATCTTCATACACCAGAAATCCCCAGACTATGTTTGAAGTCTTCACTGCTTATTAAAACTGCCTGGCACCAGTGAGATGCCTGAGGTGCTTTCTGTGGGTGAAACCAAATAATATCTGATATAGGGAATGATGACTCCTGTGATGGCCTTGGCTGGGGCTTGGAAGCTGTTTTCTGGAATTTGCTGGAAAATGGAAAGCAGATCCATTGGTGTGGACACTAAGGATGGTCCCATCTGGGATCCTTCTACGTCAATACACAGAATAACTGCAGCAAATCCCAGGGCAAGGACCAGGTGACAGAAGCACCTTAAAATGGGGACCTGAACCATCATCCTCTGCCACAGGTCCTGGTCACAACAACAAAACTCTGGGATGCTCCTGCTGGGAAGGTTTTGGAGCTGAAGTGGCATTGTCCAGGCAAGATCAGTGTTGGAAAAAAAAAACAAAAAATAAACTCTGAGGAGTTAAGCCCCTTCCAAGATGTGCACAAACTGAGCGGGATGTTATGGACAACAAACTTGGACATGAGCATCCAAACATGGATTTTCATGGATAAGCCACTCATTTTGGATCTAACCCTGAATATATTGCATGAGGTTTCTTTTGCTAAGCCCTGAAATCACGTGCTGGAAATATCCTCCTGGAGATGAACTGCTAATCCACATTTATCCTGGGAAATGAAACTGTAAAAATCTGGTTTTGTGGAGATTTGAAAGCTCGTTGCTCCAAGGAATTTCACTTGTTTGCCAGAGCAGAGGGCTGGGCTAGAGCTGAGGCGGACCAGAAGAACTCCTGGCTCCTGCTGCCCTGTCCTTGGGCATGGCTGGGGTGTCCTTCCCTTCCACCTGGCTGCTGGGCACATGGAGTGAAGGGGGACTCCCCTTTGCCTTCTGGGCTGTCTGGCAACAGAGCATGGATTTCCAATCCACCTGCCTTAAATTATCCCAGCCTGTGGCCCTTTAAGGTTATTAAACATCCTGGGAAATTCCATTTTTGGATGATTTTTTCCCCAAGGAAATTTTTGCCTGTCCTTCTGTGTTTTCCAGGGGCAGGGCATAAACCAGCTGTTACAACTGATTCCAGTGGAAGAAGCCCAGCAGCCCGTGCCATCAAATCTTGAAAAATTTTATTCCTCACGTGGTGCTGGGGCTCAGGAACACCTCCACCTGCAGCAGCCAACACTCCCTGAGCAGGACAAAGCCATGTAGGACATTGATGTCCCTGTCCCTGCCATTCCTATTGCAGTCACAGCTCTCATAACAGCCTGGGGGATGTTTTTTTTTTTATGGAGTGCTCCTCACCCACTGGTCTAAACAAGTTTCTCCAGTGGGGGTTAAGCCAAACCTGGCAGACTTTGCCCTGGGGAGGATGAAGAACACTCACCTGGAGCATCGAGGTGGTCTGGAGCCTGCAGGAGATGGATGGGGAGGCTTTAAAGCACCCCAGGGATGGTTTGAGGAAAGTCTTGTTGACTCCAGGAGGGAGACACAGTTTTTCAGGGAGCAGAGATGCAGCATGGAGCTCATGGTGTGGCTGTCAAGCACCAAGATGAAAGGATGGGGTCCTATCCTGCACAGTTCAAAGAGTTTCTCTTGGACTCTCTCCAAGCCAATGCCTCTTTCTACCTCCAGGGAGGGCATAAAGCAACCACAGTAAAAATAAACAACCCTCCCAGGTTAAAATGTTCCACCTTCACCTCCTGCTGCAAGCTGAGCTCCAGAGATGAGGACACACAGACCTGATGCTGTTCCAAAGCTCATGGCTCACCCCAGCCTAGTGATGCCACTAAGGAGTGTTTGCTCATCCTCAGGATCCAGCACAGCAGGATCTGAACTTCCAGTGCCCTGTGCAAGGGCAGGAGGTGCTGAACAGGGGCATCCGAGTTTCTGACCCCCTTGTTCATGAAAAATCTGGGTTTTCCCAGTTTGTCCCAGGGCCACCACAGAGAAGATGGGATTGGTGCTCTGATGAACTCAGAAATTTGCATAAGTGATGCAGGAGGCCAAAATTCCACGATCACACCACGTCCATTACACCTAGTCCTGTACTGGTCCTAGCAAGAAAAAACCCGCCACAAATCAACTTAAAAACCCATTTCCCAGTACCTTCCATCCCTTTCTAAGGCAATCATCTCTCTGTCATGTTCATGTCTCCTCCCTCCCGTCCCTGCTGTCTCCGGGAAGCGAAGGGTTAAAAGCTCTGAAACTGTAAGAACTTCCTCCTTTCTGCAGTGCCACCCTCGGAATGACGCTGATTTCTGCCGGGCTTTGCCCAAATATGTCCGTTTCCTTCTGAAAGACGGAGGAGGAAAGGAAAGAAATAGAGATACGGAAGAAATATCCGATATTTTTGTGTATATATCCAAGAGAAGGCATCCGAAGGGACCCGAGCTCCATGCCGTTCCGCAAAGGTAGGGCTGGATGGGCGGGCAGCATCCCGGGATGCTGCCCGGGGACCACCGGGGTACCCAGGGCTGGTGGGAGATGGAGCAGCGGGATGCACCCGCATCCAGGAGATGGGGGACACCCCTGAGGTTGTGTCTGGGGTCCAGGGGGTGCTGCAAGGGCTGAGGACAGAGGGCAGCGGGATGTTTCTGGCCAGGGGGTGCTGCTGGCTGTGTGCGTTTGTGTCCTTGGAAGGTCTGGGCTGAGGAGACACTGGGCAAACCCCCTTCACGCCTCAGGTCTGCACCCCAAACCATCTCTTTTCCACAGAAATCCCCACTCGCCACCCCCTGGCTTGGCAGTGTGGGCAAGAAGCATCCAAAACGGGACCTGAAGCTGCTGTGGATGAGTTCTCCATCCTCTTAAATGCCACCTCCTCCTCTTTCCAGAGGGAAGCGGTGGGACACAGAGTGGGATGCTTGTGGTGGTCCCTTCTCCCAGCAGCTCTTTTGGGTGGAGAAATGGAAGGGGAAATGGAGACAGACGAGCCAGGGGAGCCAAGGTTAAGTCGGGATGAAGAAGGTGCTGCCCAGCATCGCACACAGCCGCTCTGCCCGGCGGGCAGCCCTGTGCTGGGGCGGGGACAGAGGTGTCACACACTGGCGCTGCCACGCCGAAAAGCAGCAGGGAGGGAATGAAACTGGCGGGGAGAGGGCTGGATTTGATTTTCTGCCCTCTGCCTGCTCTGGGGAGGATGTTCTGGGGGTGAGGCAGTGCCCGCAGTGATGCTCACAGAGCCGCAGCGCAGCGTGATGCGCTTCACACCCTCGCATCTTGACAGCGCAGCACACCGCAGGGCTCGGCTGAATTTTAGGTGATAAACGGATTAATTTGGAGCAGAGGGAGAGATGCTGGGGGTGGGCGGTGGGAGGAAAGAGCTGAGCAGGGGAGCAGGGAGAGAGCGGGGGACCTGCCCGTGTTGGAGGGCAGCTCAGCTGCAGCCTCAGCAGGGGTAGAAATGATGGGCAGGGCTCCAGAATTTGGGCACACACGTTGGATTTGGGACAATTGATGCTTTTCCATGCCCAGCACACCTGAATTGGGTTTGTTGGGATGTCGTGCTGTGCTTGTCACCGCCGCAGCCGGAGCTCGTCTGGCTCCAAATTTCCTCTAGAGGTCAACCTTGAAATGCCAGAACAGCTTTCAGCAGCTCCGTGCATCAACCTGCAGCTCCAGGGAGTCCAAAGGAGCAGAGAGGCCGGTGGGGATGGGTTGTGTCCATTGCTTGTGTATTTTAGGAATAATTTTGTCAGCACAAGAGTTGTCAAGCACTGGAAAAGTGGTGCCTGGGGGAGTGGTGGACTCTCCATCCCTGGAGAGATTTAAGACATATAGATGTGGCACTTGGGGACATGGTTTAGTGGTGGCTTAGCAGTGCTGTGACTTTTAACCTCAGTTAACCCCACACCCCCAGCCCTGCCTGCAGCACTGCTCAGGGGCTGCTGCTGGGCTGCCTGGGCTGCCCAGGGACACATCCAGAAGCCACCAAGGCAGGAGGGTTGTGGAGATCATGGCCTTGTGGTGCCTTTCAAAAGCTGCCCACAGCAGGCTGTGCACATCCTGAGTTTGCAGGAGAGGTGGGCGTGAAGATATTTTCCTTCTAGTTCAACATGGTTCATAAAAATCCTTGCTCAGGGTGGTGGCTTCAGCTGGGTTGGGATCTGGCCGTGTTCCTGACCCTCCCAGAGGAATATGGGAACTCCAGGCAGCCTGGAAAGGAGGCTGAGCCTTTACTCTAGGAGATTTTTGGGAACAGCATCTCACCTGAGGGCTTGCTCACAGCCCCCCTGATCAAGGGTGCAAAGAGGAGGCTCTGCCCAAGGGCTGCTGCTCTTTAGACCCTCGGTAGCTTGAGGCACAGGGACACTTTGGGATGAGCATTTTGGAGGCTCTCAGCTGTCTTTGCACACCCCTGTGTGTGGAAATGGAGCATCCTGTGGCAGAAAATGTAAACTCCACCCCTGTCTTGGCTGGTTTTTCACCGCTTGCAGCTTTGGCATCCTTTTCCTGTTTCTCCCCAAGAAGTCTGTGTGAAATCCTGGTTGCCTTGGCTCTGTTCTGCCTCCTTTCTCCCCAGGCATCACAGCCAGTGGCATTGCCACACGATCTGCACTCCATGGCTGTGTAACAGCTGCCATTTAGCTGACCTCAAGGCATTTGGCAGTTTCAGATATTAAAGAAAGGTATTTTGTAACGACGTGTATTTGTATTCCACGGACAGATTCAGGCGAGATCTCTGTGGTGCTCTTGGGGGAAGAGGTTTATTCAGGATACATTGAGGCTCTGCCTCGAGCTGCCAGACACAGCACGTGGCTGGGCCTCGGGTGATGGGGGAGGGGAGAGACAACAAGGGAGCAGGGACTCCCGGAGGACTCTCCAGGAGGGCAAGGGAAGATCCAAGAGGGCGTCCAGCCCCCTGGAGACCCCTTATCAAGGGGGGCTCCAGGGTGGGCTGGAACAGGACCTGGGCCAATGGGGTCACAGGCACCTGATGGTTCAGGGGAGGGTTACAGATGTGGGGTGAACCATACATTCTGGGGGGTGACATGGGAGAATCCATTCGGCTTTTGGACCCCGCTGTAGGTGAGGGTAATTGTCCAGCCAGTAGGGGGCGTTATATTCGTCCTGGCTGTACCATTGTGGTTCTTAATCATATTTATCTACCCTCCCCAACATCTCCCCCTTTTTCACTGAACCATTTGAAATATTAAATATTGATTTAACAACTATTTTCTGCACACTTGGAGGTGTACAGGGTATTGTTACTAGAACTATACTTATTGCTACTGAAACAGTCAAGCTTATTTTACAGAGTTCCTTTAGCCAAGGTGCAAGTTTCGAACCATTAAGTCAACTGTGTAGCTGAGATGGCTTTATTGTTATTAAATCACTGATTATAGTAGGGGAGGCATTGTCAGAATTTTTTGAAAAAGGTCTTATAATTAAACGGGTTGAAAAAGGTTTGTTAGGGTTTGTGTTAGATATATAGGTGGTCTTAGAGCTTGCAGGCTTGGCTAAAGCTACTCGGCATTTGTCCTTGGTTGAATTATAAGTAAAACTTCAATATAAAAACTGAAACAGAAGAACAAAAACAATATGCACGCATTAAACAATAGAAAGTCCATTTTTCTCTCGATGACGCAGCGTGGTTCAGGTCTGGGTGCTGGCTTCTTGGCTTGTGCTTGTAGAGGAACTGTCTGGTGTGGGGGTGTCGGCAGATTTCGGAGCATGGTAAGGCTTCACGTTCTTTCCTGGGACCCACTTAAGTCCTTGACCTGTAGAAACACAAGCAAAACCTTTTCCCCACGTTATGAGGTTGTATGGACCTTCTATTTGCCCTGTGTCTAAGTTTTTTATTAAAACTGGGGGGTGTTCCTTAATTTTTGCTTTTTTGTTGTTCAGAAAGTGTCTGTAGATGGGGGGGTCGGGCTCTTCTGTAGAGCTATTTAGGAAATTGTAAACATACAGAGCTTTACTCAATCTCTTTTGAGGTGTAGCTTGATCTACTCCTCCTTTCTGTTGATTTAAAATGCGTTTTAGGGTTTGGTGTGTTCTTTCTACCATTCCCTGACTCGTGGGGGAGTGAGGGATGCCAAATGTATGGTGAACACCCCAATCATTCAGGAATGTGGCTAGTTCTTGTGAGGTATATGAGGGGCCATTATCAGTTTTAATTTCTTGGGGAACACCTAAATAGGAGAAGGCTTGTGAGAAATGTTGGCAGACATGCTTGGCTGTTTCCCCTGTATGTACAGAGGCAAAAATTGCATTTGAAAATGTATCAATAGAGACATGGATGTTTTTAAACTTCCCAAAAGATGGATATTTAGTGATATCTGTTTGCCATTTCTGTAGGCTCTCCAACCCTCGCGGGTTGGTGGCTGCTGAAGGGGGGAGGGGTTGCACATGCTGACAGCTTGGGCAAGCTCGTACAATATTTTGTGCTTGCTCTAGGGAAATGTGAAAATCTCGTTTGATGGCCTGTGCGTTTTGGTGAAAGAATGCATGGCTCAATTTGGCTTGTTCAATAGTGTTGGGCAAGGTGGTTGCAGCAAGCACCGAGGTGGATTTTTCAACGCTTGCTGAACTTTCCTCATCAGACGCGGCTGATGCCAGTGCATCAGCGCGTGCATTTCCCTCTGCCATGAATCCTGGAAGACCAGAGTGAGCCCTGATATGAGAGATAAAGTAAGGATTAGCTCTGTGTGATAAAATGTTATATAAACAGGTAAGCCAAAGACACAAATTATTGTTGCTTACATCCTTTAGAACGGATCCCTCAATTCTCTTAATGACATTAGCTACATAAGCTGAATCTGTGATCAGGTTGAAAGGTTCCGGAAAGAGCTGAAATGCTCTTACAACTGCAGCCAATTCAACAATCTGAGGGGAACCTTCAACTTTTTGGACATCTTGTTCCCAGGTTTTAGTTTTTGTATTTTGCCATGTAACAACTGAGTTGTGTGTTCGGCCTGACCCGTCAGTGAAGATAGTAATTGCATTTAAAGGTTCTTCACTGATCAGGGGCTTCTCCTTATAACATAACTTGGCTTTGATCATTTTGTGTGCTGGGTAGTGAATTGAGCAGGTGCCTGGGAAGTTCAGCAAGGCATACAGCAGGTCCTCCGATTTTTGCATAGCCCAGTCAAAATATGTTTTCTTCATGGGCAGGTAAATAGTTTCAAACTCGCGGCCTGCTATTGAAAGGAGCCTTGCTCTGCCTTTGATGATGATCTGTGACATCATCTCCAAAGGTGTGAGGATTGTCTTTGGTGACCTATAGGAAATAAAAACCCATTCAATTATTAACAGTGGATCCTTGAGAGAAGAGTCCCATTGGAAGATGAGGCCGCACAGCCTCAACTTTTCTCCCAGGATTGCAAGGAAAAAGGGTTGACCAGGAACATAGCGATGTGCCTGCCTGTTCTGCAGAGCGTCAGTGATGTGTTCTAGGGCTTTATAAGCCTCTGGAGTGAGAGACCTGGGGGATCTGAGTTCATTGTCTCCCTTTAACAGATCAAAAAGTGGAGCAAGTTCATCAGCAGTTATTCCTAAGACAGGCCTAACCCAATTAATTTCCCCTAAGATCTGTTGTAAGTCCTGTAGAGTGCGGACATCGGTTCGGATTTGTATCTTTTGGGGGGAAATAGACTGATCTGTTAGTTTCCAGCCTAGATACTTCCAGGGGGCAGTTTCTTGTATTTTTGATTCAGAGATCACAAGTCCAGCCTTTTTTACTTCAGCAACAGCATAACTACAAGTCCCTCTCATCTGCTCTTGTGTTGGTGCTGCAATAAGCAGATCATCCATGTAGTGAAGGATAACGGATTGTGGAAACTTTTGGCGGACTGGAGTCAGCGCGCGGGCGACGAAATATTGGCAGATAGTAGGCGAGTTTTTCATTCCTTGGGGGAGGGAAAGCCAGTGATACCTCTGAAGCGGTTCTTGTAAGTTCGTACTCGGGACGGAGAAGGCAAAACGAGGAGCGTCATCTGGATGCAGAGGGATGTTGAAGAAACAGTCTTTCAGATCTATGATGATAAGAGGCCAGTCTCTGGGTATCATGGACAGGTTGGGCAGGCCAGGCTGGAGTGGGCCCATGTTTTCGATCACTGCATTGATTTTTCTGAGATCGTGTAGCAGTCGCCAGGTGTTAGAGGTTTTCTTATGGATCACAAATACAGGTGAGTTCCAGGGGCTGTTAGTGGGCTTAATGTGGCCCTTCTGCAGTTGTTCTGCTACCAGTTCTTTGAGGGCACTCAGCTTGTTATCTGGCAGGGGCCACTGATCGACCCAGACAGGGGTGTCAGTCTTCCAGGTCAGTTTCGGAGTGCTGAGTGCTTTAGTGGCCCCTACAAAAAACCCAGTTCAATTTTAGCTCCCCATGCAGAAAGCAAGTCCCTTCCCCATACTGTGATGGGTTTCTGAACCACATAAGGGCGAATCAATGCTTTCATTCTGTCAGGCCCTTCAATGCTGATCACAGATTCGCTTTGCAAGCACGGAGTGACACCTCCGATGCCTGTGAGAGTGCTTGGGGGAGGTACCAACCTCCAATCAGTAGGCCAATAACAAGAAGAAATTACAGAAACGTCTGCCCCCGTGTCAATCATCCCCTTGATGGTGACTCGAACCCCGCCATTTGATAGTTCACAAGTTAGCATTGGTCTTTGGTCACTTATGTGTTGAACCCATAGGACCTCGGGGTTTTCAGAAGCGACTGGGAAACAACGTGGTGGTATCTGGTCTATGGCTCCCATAGGCAGTGCAATGGCAATGACTATAGGGGTTTTAGGTGGAATATGCAATGGGGGGTAGTAAGCCTTGGCTAACACTAATAGTTCTTCATTGCAGTTAGCAGAGACTACACAAGGTAGAACAAGTAGCCCCAGGATGCAATTCCTTTCTTTGCCAACTATTAGAAAGTCTTGCCGGAGTTGTGAAGGCCCAGTGGTTCCTGTCGAAATATAGTCGTAGCCATCATCCTTTAAGAAGGTTGTTGGCTTGGAGGTCGCCAGAGTGCACCAGGTGCCTGGGGATAGTAAGTTTGAGTCATTAGCTGGGATTGTGCTGGTGATGCAGCGAAGGGCATTGGGACCGGGATATTCGCAGATTTTACCTCGGGGTTTTGGGGGGCCACCATTTGTTTCATCACGCGGTGACGCGGCGCGCTCGCCTTGGAGTTTTTTGGATTAGGTCTTCTACTCGCATCTTGTTTGGATCGGCACTGCCAGGGCATATGTTTTCCTTTTTTGCAGGTGGTGCACGAATCAGGCGTTTGTGGGCTTTTGTTGACTTCTGTGCAATCCTTTACAATGTGGCCAGGTTTTTTGCAGAGGTAGCAGGGTCCTAAAGGCAGAGCAGCTTGCATGACAGCCATGGTGTTGTATTGTTGTTGGGAGCTGAGATGCAGGGCAGTTAGAAGTTCCGTAAGTCTCTGGTCTCTTGCTTCTGCCTGTTGTGCTTGTGCTGCAAGAGCCCTTTCCAGTTTATCTCCCCGGGTTTCTTCGGGTTCATGTGCTTGGACGACTGCCACGTCATGTGGGCTCCCAACATAGTTGCACGCTTCAATCATCTCAGGCACTGTAGGTTTTTCTTTTCCTAGGGCCTTGATGATTCGTTTGCATTGGGCGTTGGCATTATTTTCGAGGATGTCCCGGATCATTATCGGCCGGGCCAAATCATCACCACATTGCCTTTCAGTAGCTTGAATTACCCGGTCTACAAATGTGGTGAATGGTTCAGATGAGCCTTGGGTAACTAGATTGTATGCTTCTTCGGAAGTTCCCGCTGGCTGAATCTGCAAAAAGGCTCTGCGAGCCATCTTTTTGACATCATCCAATACCATTTTGGGTAGATTCGCCTGATGTTCGATCTTATCATCTGGTGGGTCACCTGTTAATTTAGACAAGGTAAGGGTGCGAAGTTGTGCATCAGTGCTTTGTCTATATGTAGTCAGGACTCCTGCAAGCATTCTCTTCCATTTAAGATCCCACAATATATATTGTGAGTCTGTGAGAAATGTTGTGGCAAGATGTTTGCAGTCATGTGGCGTGAGTGTGTGTCTCTCTAGGGTACTTTTTAACAGCTGTTTGAAATAGGAAGAGGAGATGCCACCGTCATTAATTGCTTTTCGCAACTCTTTTAAATCATGGGAGGGAAGGAATGTCCATGTTTTGAGATTAGCAGGTTGTTGGTTGGGTATTGCCGGTATGGCTTGGGAAGGCAGGTTGTCTTCTTTGTGGTTATCATATTTGATTTTAGGGCAGTTAGTCAAGTGAAGATTGTTGGCACTGTGTTGAGAATTTGGTGAGACTGGGATAGAAAGGTTAGAGTTTGCAGGGGTAACATAGTTCTCTGTTTGTCCTTTGTTTGTAGAAGCTGCAGTTACATTGTTGCGTTCACGTTGCTGAGGCATAGTGTCGTCGTTAGGGTGTGGTGAGGAGCTGTTAGTGTGTGAGGCAGGGGCTGCTGCCAGCCGAGGCAGAGGAGCAGGGGGGGAGGAGGTTGTGGGCAGCAGCACCTGTGGGGAACTGGGATTTGTGGAAGGATATGCTGTCGCTATGGCATTGGTTGCTGTGGCAGTCTGAAGAGCCGGCGAAGGGAGAGATGTGGAGGGATATGGTGATGGGTTTGGGAAACCCGGAAGTGGTGCCGGCGGCGGGGGGTTAAGGTGCTCTGCAGCCAGAGGCAGGGGCTGCGGCACCGCGGGGGGATGGGGGGGTGGGGGCGCCGGGTTTGCGTCTGCCGGGGGGTCCGGCCGCGAGTGCAGGAGGCGGGCGGGCAGCGGGGGTGCTGCGCCGGGAGCCGGGGCGTCCCTGGGAAGGACGGGCGGTGCCGCGGCTGCAGGGGCGGGGTCCGGGGCGCTCGAGGGAGAGGAGGTGGAGGCAGGGGCGGGGTCAGGCCCGCGCGAGAGGGGGGAGGCGGCCCCGGGGGCGGGGTCCGGACTGCGGGGGAGGGGGCCGGCGGCCGCGGGGGCGGGGGCGGGGTCTGGACCGAGGGGGAGGGGGGCGGCGGCCCCGGGGGCGGGGTCAGGGCTGCGCGGGGGGGAGGCGGCGGCCCCGGGAGTGGGAGCCGCCCAGCCCAGGGCCGGCGCATGGCCGGCGCGTTCGCCGGACCAGGGGACTTCCGGGTGGGTCGGGAGGGTGGCCGCGGAGGCGAGCGTATGCAGCTTTTGCAAAATCGCAGCTGACGCTTGAAATTGTGTTTGTAAAATAGCCATTGACTGGGTTTGTGCTTGCAAAATGGCTGTTGTTTGATTTTGTAAAAGTTCGGCTATAGTAGCCATCATAGCCGGGACAGGCAATGCTGGGGGGCCGGGCGGGGGGGAGGCGGGGCCCGCGGAGTGGTTTGGGGGGGAGGAGGTGGCCGCAAGGGCGGGTTCTGGGTTGCGGGGGAGGGGAGGGCCGGCTGCGGCAGGGAGCGTCGCTCGCTCAGAAACAGCTGCGTCTCCAGCCGCCTCGGCGGCATTCTCTCCGCAGCGCGGGGTGGGGGTGCAGTCCGGCGGGGATTGTTGAGCCACGGCGGGGAGCGGTTTGGCTGCTATCTGCGGCTTTTGAGAAGCGCAGATTCCTGCCACAACTCTATAAGCAGGGAGCAATTTGCAAGCATAGGGGTCCCGCCGTGAAATGTCGTTAAACAGTGTATGTCCCACGGACTCCCAAAAGTCTCCACAAAACACAGCAGAGCGCTCGGCATATGGGAACTTAAGTAAGATCCATTCTAGGAGTTTTCGTAGCTCTTTTTTAGGCAAATTACTATTATGGCTACGTAATAAGTGGTTAAGTTGCTTATAGAGATCTCTATCAGCTGCAGAGTGGGACTGTCCCATTTTTAAACCAGTGTGGCTCACCTCGATGTCGCAGGAGCGGGATCCTCTGTCAGGTTCCGACGTTTACTGCAGTCGGTGCTGAGGTCACCGCGGGGTTTTCTCCAGAGCTTCAGCGCGGGCAGTGCTCAGCAGTGCTCGCCTGTGCTTTGTGTACGTGGCCACGTGGTGCGGCAAGTCTCGTCACAAAGCCTTGGGTCGCCGCGGAATCGCGGCGATCTCTTGTGCTCGGAGAATAATGGCCAGAAGTCGTATAAGGGCTCTAATAGCTCGCTACTATGTAACGAGTCGCTGAGCTGTACGACGGCTTCGGGACTTTTTAAAGAGCTCCGGTTCGTTACTGCCTAGCAGCAGAATGCCGTGCTCGCGATTACGATGGCGAGGAAATACCTGGTTATTTAGTTAGTGTCCATGGAAAGGTGTCCTACAGGTAGAAAAGCTGGAAAGCATCCAGACGGGTGCAGTTGCAGGTCACCGTGGGTTCGTATTCGACGATGGGCGCCAGTCTGTAACGACGTGTATTTGTATTCCACGGACAGATTCAGGCGAGATCTCTGTGGTGCTCTTGGGGGAAGAGGTTTATTCAGGATACATTGAGGCTCTGCCTCGAGCTGCCAGACACAGCACGTGGCTGGGCCTCGGGTGATGGGGGAGGGGAGAGACAACAAGGGAGCAGGGACTCCCGGAGGACTCTCCAGGAGGGCAAGGGAAGATCCAAGAGGGCGTCCAGCCCCCTGGAGACCCCTTATCAAGGGGGGCTCCAGGGTGGGCTGGAACAGGACCTGGGCCAATGGGGTCACAGGCACCTGATGGTTCAGGGGAGGGTTACAGATGTGGGGTGAACCATACATTCTGGGGGGTGACATGGGAGAATCCATTCGGCTTTTGGACCCCGCTGTAGGTGAGGGTAATTGTCCAGCCAGTAGGGGGCGTTATATTCGTCCTGGCTGTACCATTGTGGTTCTTAATCATATTTATCTACCCTCCCCAACAGTATTTCTAGCAGGGATGCTCAAGGACAGCCAGGAGGAACGAACTTAGGACAGAAATTAATTTCTTCCAGCATCAATGCATCAGCTGGGAGCACTGGAGAGAGAGCCCTGATCCCCAAGCAGTCCCACAGACAGGCAAAGGCCTGTCTGTGACTTCAGCTCTGTTATCAGGAGGTGTTGGGAGCTTTCACCTAAAGTGCCCTCCTTGAAAAATATGATTTAATTACTGCAGCTGACGCGAGGAAGCCTGGGAGTGTGCAGGTGATAAGCTGGCAAGGCACTGCCAGCCAGCAGGACATTTGTCAATTGTCAAAGGACAAATGAAATCTTGGTGCTGCTGGCTGGGAAGGAGCTGGAGATAAGCCTGAAAGCCAGTGAGCAGAGAATGAACACATAATGATAGAAGCATGGAACAGTCTGGGCTGGAAAGGATGTCAAAGATCACCTAGTTCCAAACCCTCTGACAAGGCAAGAACACCTTGTACTCAATGAGGTTACTTAAAGTCCACTCCAGCCTCACCTTGAACACTTCCAGGGATGTCCACCTCTCTGGGCAACCTGTGCCAGGGTCTCACCACCCTCATAATAAAAAATTTCTTCCTTGTATCTAACATAAATCACAGAATCACAGAATAATGAGGTTGGAAGAGACCTCTAAGATCATCAAGTCCAACCTATGCCCTAACACCACAACTAGTCTTTTTTTAAACATATCCAGAGACGGCGATTCCACCACCTCCCTAGGAAGACAATTCCAGTATTTTATTATTCTTTCAGTGAAATTTTTTTCCTAATATCCAACCTAAATAAACCCTCCTTCATTTTGAAACCATCACCCCTTGTCCTGCTGGAACAGATCCTGCTAAAAATCTGTCCCCATCTTTCTTATAGGTTCCCTTTAGGCACTGGAAGGGGCTCTAAGATCTGCTCAGAGCCTTCTCCTCTTGAGGCTGAGCACCTGAGCCCTCTCAGCCTGTCTCTATAACAAAGTTCTCCAGCCCTTGGAGCATCTTCATGGCCTCTTCTGGACTTGCTCCAACAGCTCCACATCCTTTTTATATCCGAGACCCCGAGCTGGACATGGTGCTGTGGGTGGGGTGTCCCAGGAGTGGAGGGGTGGGGCAGGATCCCTCAATCTCCTACTGCTCCCTCTGCCTTGTACATTCTGTTAGCACCAGCTACAACATCCCCTGGTCTCAATTCTGCTTGCTGAGACCAAGGAGCCTCGTGTGGGCAGGGGCAGAGGTGCCTTTTGCCTGCAGCATGAAGGGAAGGGGTCAGGGTCAGCTGGTGGGACCCCAACAGTGTTAAAGTCCTTGTTGCCCTAACCCAGCAGCCAAAAAAGGAGTCTGGAATATGTGAAGTTGAGTTCTCAAGGTTGTTTATTCTTTCTTATCTAAACATTCTTTCTCTGACCTGCCCAGCTCTGGCTGGCAAGTCCACCATGGCATTCTGCCGTGCCCTCTCAGGTGGTGTTTACCTTTTATATCAAAGGTTACATATGGTCAATTTATAACAATGCACCAATATCTAACATCTGTGTTGGACAGTGTGTCCCCATCCCAAACCAACAGAAAAGTGTCACCACCACACCAAGACATGGAGGACAAGAAGAAAGGAAAGAAGGTCAGGACACGCCCAAATTCCTCCATCTTGTGCCCCCTTGAACTCCATTCTAAAAATCCCAAAATTCTACTTTTCCACTCTGTGTTAGTTCAAATATCACACCACTTAAACTCTTGTGACTTGTAATTCCTCATACAAAATTGACAGCTTTTTCCACAGGCTAAAATCAAAGCCACAGGTGTTTTTGACTTCATGCCAGGGTCTCAAGACAGCCAGGGCAGCCAGAGGGATGTCCTGGGCTCTGACAGTAAGGGACAGGACTGTGACACATCCTGACACTGTTATTTCTGCTGTCTGTCCCCTGTGCCACCGAGCACTTCCTCGCTGTCCCAGCTCTTGCAGTGACTCAAATTACAACACCCCCTGATGGGAAACTCTGCCTTTGCAGAATGGTTTCAGCTAAAGGTGGAGAACTGCCTTTCTGCAGCTTTTTTTAGGTATTGGAAGGGATAATCTCATTGCTTTGGGAGGTTTTCTGGATTGCTGGCAATGCCCTGCAAACCCACATGCTGCTGCCTTTGCTGGTCATGTCACCCACCACTCCTCGATGCCGTGTCTTCCTGGCAGCCCTGGAAAAGGTCTTATCCAGCATTTCCTGTCAGAGGCACTGGCCAGGATTTTTTAAGCACTGATGGATGCAGAGAAGCCATGTGAGGAGTCAGGAGCTGCTCGAAGGGGGTCCTGCCAGCTGCAGCTCCCCATGGGGACCCTCCTGGTGACAGTGACACCGTGGGTGTCTGCTTGAGGGTATCTGCTCAAAGAGCAAGGAGGAAATGTGTGGCATTTGTGTGACTCTCTTGACTCACTGCCTTGTGCCTGAGTCAAACCATCTCCTTGTTTTCACTGAACACCTTTCCTGGGAGGCTGGAAATCCCCTCCCATCCTGGCCTGTGGCCTGTGTTGTCCCCTGGCCTGTGTTTCTCACTGTGATATTTTCATTCTGTCTCTTGTTTTTGTTTCATCCCCTTTCACCTCACTAGTCTCTCCCAAAGGAGCAGGTGCCTGGCCCCCATCTCACCCCTCCCAGCATCTCCCTGCACATCCAAGAAAGCCCTGGGTGAGCACAACCTTTCTGCTGCCTCTTGGCCTTTGCACTTTTATTTATGGCCACCCATGGGGAGTTTTTAATGGATTTTGGGGTCACCACGCCCGGTTTTGTTCCCATTATTGCTCACTGAGTCATGCACAACCAAGCAGCAGAGCCCACCATGCCTCCAGGTGCTGGTGCAGGGGAGCACATCCCAGGCTATGTCCCAGGTGGGACAACCTTGGCTGCCACCAGCTGTAGGTGGAACCACCACTCCACTAGAAACTCTTGTAGGAGGCTTCTAAAGGGTGCAGTGGGATTTTCTGATCACAGAAACCAGAAACCAAATCAGATCACGGATCAATCCACAGAAACCAGCTGGTGGGGACAGATATGGGTTGTGAGCACCTCTCAGACTCCCTGAGTCTGGGAATAAAACAATATTGAAGGTATATCCTCCTGTCCTAACCTGGGAGCAGGCAGACACACATATAACCTCCCTGCCAGGGTCAGAATTCCACCAAGCAACTCAGGATGCTGGAAAACCCCTCCTTTTGCTGTCCTGCCTCCCTCCTGGCAGGGATGGGGAAGGAGTCTCCATTGCTGCATTTCCAGCCACCAGCTAAAACCAAGCTCAGTGGCTATTTCACACAGGAGAGCAGCTCAGACTGGGCTTGAGCTTCACCCCAGTGCTCAGATCCCACCACCAACACCCCCCAGACCCCTTTTCACCCACCAGCCCTGTGTCACTGGAAGCCTGTGCCAGCAGAGCTGCTGCCCTGCTGAACCTTTCCTTAACACACCCTCTGTGATGGAGAAATTGATCTCAGCACAAAACAGCTCCAAAGGCTTTAAATCAGATGACCACAGGGTTTTTATTTTCATGGAAGGACGTGGGAGGATTTCAAAACCAGCAGGCAGCAAGGTGTGATCCCTGTTTTCCTGGTGTGTGCGTGCAGGCACACACATCTCTGCAGAGCACCTGATCCTTTTCTCCATCATAACTACATTTTAAGGTTAGGGAAAAAAAAAAAAAAAAGGATGGGGTACAGTCCCCAGCTGGGACTCAAGATCAAACCCACACAAGCAGATTTAGGTTTCCTTTATGTTTTCCCCTGAAGAATTCCTTGTCCTGGCAAGGCATATTAGGATTCCACTAATAGGATTCCACTGGGGCAGCATATCTTGTATAAAACTTAAATATTCCTTGCTATAAAGAACAGCTATTATCTTCTCCATAGCATCCTTTTCCAGGCTGAAAGCTACTCCCCATTTTTCTCCTTCCTGGAGAACAAAATCATTCTCATTTTGTCCTTTCCCATATGCTCAATTTTGAAAACATCTCCTCGGTATTGCCCATCCTGTCCCATCCCAGATTAAACCTCTTCCCAAAAGCACAGGGCCTGGAGTGAGATGTGCCCTTCCTTGGTGCTGAGGAAGCAGCACCATGCAGTCCAGAAAACCCAATCTTCTGCATTTTGCATGCCACCCTCTAGCTAAAACATCATGGAATTGGGCTGTCCTTTTGGTTTCCCTGCATTACTATTATTAGTGTTTAATAATAATAATAATAATAATAATAATAATAATAACAATTTCTTCTGGGACTTCATGCTGTTTGTTCAGAATTGGCTGCTGAGACCTTCCCAGTCCTTTGCTCCTTGTTGGATGATTTCCAGCTTTATCAATCGAGGCAGGGGAAACTGAGGCACAGGAGGGCTGAGATGGGCTGGAGGCTGTGCTGATGGTACCTTTAGCTGCTCATACACACGGATCCAGCTCTCTCTGCACCAATCCTGGCAGTGCCAGAGCATCCTGTTCCCTGTGTAGGCACATTTTGGGGATATTACTGGTGCAGGATTCATTGTAAGCAGTGCAGAGCTTCCAAATCAGCCCCTGTGGGCAGGAGCAGGGTGTTAAAACCCCACCTGCAGAGATGTTGATTTGG